CACAGGCCCTCACGTAGTCCCTAATGGTCATTTGCATACCACTCCAATAGACATTTTCAGATATCCTCCTGTAGGTTCTGAGGAATCCTGAATGGCCCCCCATAGGAGTGTTATGGCACTCCTTTAGAAGTAAAGGAATAGAGGGAGAATTTAGTCCTATTACCAAGCGACCATGATACATCAACACACCCTGTTGCAGAGTAAAACCAGGTATGGATTGTGGATTCTTTTCCACCTCTTCTATTAATTTCTTCACCTCATTATCTTTCTTCACCTCTTGCAGTAACCTACTGCTCTCCAGCCAGTTTGGTGTATGTAACATAGAGGCTAATTCCCCTTCATCAAAGCACCTTGACAACGCATCCGCTGCTTTGTTTTCCAAGCCCGGTTTGTATTTCACCTCAAACTGGTACCCTAAGAGTTTATCCAGCCAACACTGTTGGTCAGGTGAGGACACTCTTTGCTGTAAAAAATGTTTAAGGCTCTTGTGGTCAATGTAAACCACAAATTCCTTACCCAATAAATAGTGTCTCCAGTGCTATATGGCTAGAACCAAAGCCATCAATTCCTTCTCATACACAGATTTTGCCAAGTTATTCTCAGATAAGGCCTTACTGAAGTAGGCAATCGGTTGTCTCCTCTGCATCAACACAGCTCCCACACCTCTCCCTGCAGCATCACATTCGACTTCAAACGGTAAGGAAAAATCAGGAAGCACCAAAACAGGAGGAGTGGTCATGCTTCTTTTTAATTTCTCAAAAGCTTCTTTGGCACTCTCACTCCAAAGGAAATTGTCCTTCTTTGTGAGATCAATTAGAGGCCTGGCAATTTTACCATAGTCTCTAACAAACTTCCTGTAATATCCCGTGAGACCCAAAAACCCTCTCACGCCTTTCACATTCTTAGGACTGGGCCAGTCTAAGATACATTTTGTCTTTCCAGGATCGACGGCTACCCCTGCTCCAAAGATGATGTGCCCCAAATAATCAATTTGAGAACAACCAAACTTACATTTGGATTTGTTTGCCACAAAACAATTACTAACCAGCACTGCCAGCACTTGTTGTAAATGTTTACCGTGTTCTTGAGCATTCCTACGTACACCAGAATATCATCAAAGAATACTAGCACAAATTTCCTCAAAAAAGGCCTGAAAATGTCATTCATTGTCGCTTGAAACGTAGCAGGCGCATTCATTAGCCCAAAAGGCATGACAAGATACTCATAATGACCATTATGAGTTCTAAAAGCAGTTTTGTGGACATCTTCTTCCTGAACCAGTATCTGATGGTAACCTGCTTTTAGATCAATTTTGGAGAAAATTGTTGAACCATACAATTCATCCAAGAGCTCATCAACAATTGGAATCGGATATTTTTCAGGTATAGTAGCCTTGTTAAAGGCTCTATAATCCACACACATCCTCCACGTGTGGTCCTTCTTCTTAACCAAAATCATCGGACTCGAGAAAGCGCTCATACTAGGTCTTATGACCCCTTCCTATAACAGTTCTGCCACCTGCCTCTTAATTTCCTCTTTTTGATAATGGGGGGTACTTATAAGGTCTCACATTGACAGGACCTTGATTTGGCAAAAGAGTGATTTTGTGCACCTGCTCCCTCATGGGAGGCAAAGTTAATTTGTCTTTAAACACCTCAGGGTACAGGTTTAAAACCTCCACCATTGTTTCTTCCTCTGTACCTTGAATTTCTTCTTTACATTGCCACCATCCACTTTTGCCCATCTCACCTTCTCTTCCTGTCAAAAAAGCATTAAGACATCCTTTTTGAATTTGTCTTTCCTTTTATCCCTGCAAGGTAATCACTTCTCCTTTATGCCAAAACTGCATAGATAGATCCTTCTAGTCCATTATGACCTTTCCAAGCGTACTCAGCCACGAGATTCCCAACACCACATCCAATTCACCCAGCTCCAACACCAAGGCATCAATGGTGAACGTTTGAGATCCCAATGTCAATTTGATTGCTCTGCATATACCTTCGGACAACACCCTGTGACTGTCACCCAGCTTGATTCTTTTCACCCTATTAGGTGTAATTGTCAGCCCCAACACCATAGCCAATTTAGGAGAAATGAAGCTATGACTAGCACCACTATTAATGAGAACCTTAACATTTACATTAGTAAGCTTCCCTTCAATTTTCATGGTATGGTGCTCTCCCATTTTGCCAAGGACCCCTATAATCTTACATTCTGCTTCAACTTCTTCTTCATCCTCTGTCTCTTCCTCCTCCAGCGCCACAATCTCACCCTCCTCATTCATCGTTTCTCCATCTCCAAGTATTAATTCACGCATCGAACGCTCAGGACATTTGTGCAACGTCGGATGGTACTTTCCGCCACACTTAAAACGCAAACCCTTAGCTCGCCTCTCCTTCATCTCTTTATTTCGCACACCTTTCCAACGTTCAGAGCCCCCACTTCGCCGTTCAGAATCAGATTTCTTCCCCGTCGAACTCAGCGATGACGAGGAATTCATGTTGGACCCTACGAACCCGGTTTTTCTTGTCGGGTTGTTCCAACCCGAACTCACCCCCTTCGTTACTTCCTTCTAGGTCGAATTAAACCCGGTTCAGAATTTAAACCCGAGCCCATTCGCTTCACTACGGCCCACTATCTTCTTACTGTAGTTACGCGAACCATCATCGTCTTCTTCTCTCAGCTCGTCCTCCACATCTTTCGCCATTTGCATCCGAGTTTGAGGATTCAGAGTCCTTACCCGGCGACGGATGGGTTGCTTCAAACCACTCATGAAGTACCCTAAGTATTGTTCCTCCGGCAACCGGCCCACCTGTGATGATAGCAACTCAAACGCTTCGACAAACTCCTCGACGCTCCCCGTTTGCTTCAAAGTTGATAACTCCTCGAACGGGTTCTCCAAACGTCGACCTCCATAGCGCGCAATCAACGCTTTCTTCAACTTCTCCCACGTGAGGTCGTCCTCTGTCTCCATAAGCAAATTAAACCAATGTATGGTGGCACCTTCCATACTCAAACGAGATAGCTTCACACGCATAACCTCAAAGGTGTTTTGTACGTCGAAATAGATCTCAGCTCGTGTGATCCACGCAACTGGGTCCTCTCCTTCAAACAACGACAGCTTCACCTTCTTTCCAGCCAAGCGAGACTCACTATGTGATGACGCATCATCGTTCAAGTTTTCCTCATGAGGCACAACCTTCTTCCCCATCTGTTTGTTAAGCGCAGTCAGTACAGTACTCTGTTGTTGCAGCTGCAACGCAAGTTCCTGTAACGTCGCATTAACACTTCCCATCTGGGTCTCCAACGCATTTGTACGATCACCCATCTTAGGTTTCCTTGGCATCGACAGTTGCGAGATTTCTGAGGGGTTATTGATCCGGTAGGTCGGACCAATTGATGGGTTAATGAAACAGTAAATAGCAGATTAAGAACAAAGGAGCAAAGGTAATTGTTTATATGATGAGTAACAATTACAAGCAGCAAGAAATAGTAATGGTAGATAGTAATAATAGGTAACGTGAATTGATAACAGACTATCAATTCCCTATAGTCACAAGGCCTCAATTCACAGAGTGAATCCATTCTAACAGAATACTTGGCTAGCTATTCTCTCTCCTCTAACTGTCTTAATATACTCAACTGACCTCACTACTCATGCATCCCACCCATGCACACGCGTTTTCCTCCTCTTTTCTCTCTCTTGCTTTCCCACGCCTCCTCTCATACTCTCCATATCTTGGGCCTGATGTTAGAGTCCAGGCCCAACTGTGTCTCCTTCTCTCCATCATTGAGGATATGCACTTCAACAATTATGTTATCACTGTGAAATGTGGCTAGACACCCTATTGTCTTTGCTTTTCTTGCTATGACATGTAGAGAGATGGATATCATGTTTAATTATTATCTTAATCATTTGATACCAGAGGAAGCACAAAATACCATGGCAGAGAGCAACTAGAGCTACATTGACAGGTACATCAGGTGGTTTTTCAAAATGTCATATCCATATATGACATAAGCTAAAATACCATGGCAGAGAGCAACTAGAGCTACATCGACAGACAGGTACATCAGGTGGTTTTTTAAAATGTCATATCCATATGACATAAGCTGCTTCAAAAAATCCACTAAAGCCAACTCATCAGAATACTAGAGGAGCAAACACAGTTAAATCATACTCGTGATGTCTTGCCTAAATGACAAAGGCACTAATATGAAAAATTAATAATGAATGAATTGAAAAACAATTATGTTTAATGGAGAATTGAATCAAAACCTTTACAAAAATATTTTATAGAATGTTCTTATTTATCTCTATTACCACTGAATTCATTAAATTTGTCACCTCTTATTACTATTATTGTTCATTTTATGATACAAAACTTAATACAAAATGCTGTCAACAGATTGCATAACAGCACTAGCATTGCAAAATTTTATCTATATCAAAAATTTAATATAGACCCACCCACAAACTCTACCTGAATTCTTTATTCTTGTATCAGCTTCTATTTGTTCATCCACGTTATACTTTGCCGAATAATAACATGCCAAAACTATACTTTAAAACTCAAACTAAAATCATTACATACAGTTATACAATGCAGTGTATTTGAATGCAAGAATGAGTGATATACATGTTTGATTAAGAACCTAGTTGCTGTAGTTTTTTGTTGGCAAGAAAGAAAATATAATTTATGATACTGAAATGCTAGTGAAAGTGAAACTATTTTAGCAATATTTAAGATCAACTTTAACACTCCAATAACCAGACACAAATTAACACCCAAGAATTTGTGTTGGGCAATACACAAGATTAAAAAGGCAGTAATTTTAATAAATTGAAGTTCAACAATGTTGACAAAACTTCCAGAAATCCAGTAAACCTCTCAGTTTCCGCAGCTTACTAAAGCAGGATAAAACACCAAACCTTTTTTAGCATACTCGCGGTAAATACAAGGAAAAATTACTAAGTGAATATGGTAATCAATGCAATATCACCGACGGCCTTGCTTAGACTTTTTACTTTGTTGACCAGACCTGGAAATACAATTAAAAATCATAATTAAATCATAATCTAACTTGGCAAAACAACTCAGAAAGTTCGTTAAAATCATTGATTACTGTTTCCAGAAAAAATAAACCATACTTGCTAGAGTTGGAAGTCTGGCCCTTTGCAGCATTCTGATTAAACTTTCCACCCTGCTTTGTAGGGTGGGGAGTTGCTATATGTACACCTTTTTTACCATCTACAAACAGAGAATGACAGAAAATGTATAAAATTGTTGTGGGCTCAATACGAATCAAATTGTTAAGACACAAATGAAAGAAAATATTAGCATAAACTCTGCACAAAACCAAGCATCTAAATCTAGACATCCAAAAAGGAAAACTAAAATTTTACAAGAGCTTCACTGGATCTTATTTGAGAATGAATCATGTGGAATAAGCACTTAATATGTTTTGTTAAGCTTCTAAAAATACATTATGACATACTTAAAGGCAATTTTAAGCTTATTTTAATAAACTTCTCAGATAAGCTTATAATTTAATCACTTTTAGGCTCTCATGTGCCTAACACTTACTGAATAAGAGTTTAAACTGTATGCCCACTCACTTAAGCTATATAGTGCAAATAGTGTAACAAGTTAATAACTTTACCAGTCTTTTCAGGAGTAGCATTCTTAGCTTTCTTGGCGGGAACTGGAGTTTGTGATCCAGCACCAATTCCTCTCTTGTTGTTCTTGCCCTGAGTCACCACCTTCAACAAAAGAAACAGTGTATAAGTACTGGTGAAGACTACGCAAAATACAATCATAAGATAACAAATTATAAATCAGAGAAATTCAGTGTACAACAGTTGATTACCTTCTTAGCAGGAGTCTCCTCTTCACTATCAGTATCACCGTCAGTATCAGTAGTATCAGTATCAAGAGCTTTAGGAGTAGCGTCTTGTTCACTCTCACTCTCACCACTATCAGTGTCAATCTAAAATGACAAATGAAAGAATTTACCATCACAAACCTTGAATACCAGTTACCAGAAAGAAAAAATCAATTCCTATTACGGGAGATAAAACCAATGTTTACCAATGCTTGGATAAACTCTTAGAAAAAGAAGCTTATTTCCATTTTTGCAGACAATGGATTACAAAGAAAATATAATTATACATCACAAAAGGAACAGATTGCGTGAAAGTGGAATTTAAACCGAAATTAAAGAACAAGTTACACAAACGAGAACAGCATTGAACAACTGCAGATTACCTTAGCAGGAATGTCTTCATCACTATCTGTATCAGTATCGCTATTTTGGTCACTCTTATCAGTATCACTATCAGTATCGCTATTTTGGTCACTCTTATCAGTATCACTATCAGTATCAATCTAAAATGACAAATGAAAGACTTCATTTACTATAAAAAAATTTGAATGTCGCTAATACGAGTTAAAAAAATGAAAAATGAAAGAATTTACAAAATAAAACTTTGAATATCAATATACCAACAAGAAAAAAAATCAATTTCTCATGAGATAAACTCTAAGAAAAAAACATCTTATTTCCTTTTTGCAGACAACGGATTTTACAAAGAAAAAATAATGATATATCACAAAAAAAACTACAAAATGAAAATGCAATTTAAACTCAAAGGTTACTAAAATACCTCGTCATCAGAAATTTCATCCTCAGAAAAATCTGAATCTGATTCATCATCAGATTCATCTTCATGTTTCACTGGATCAACAACCTTGACTTGCTTTGTCAATGCATCGACTTCAGCCGTAGGTTTTACAGATTTATCAGCCTCCACCTTTACTTCTTGAGCTTTTAATTCATGGATTCATGAAAGAATATAATTATGTGTTATCTAAGAAATATTATATATATAATGTACAGCTAACAATAAATGTCAGATTAAGAGACGGCATCTACCATGTTCCTTCAAAGGAGCAAGTTCTTCATCACTATCTGTCAAAATAACACAACAAAACAATGTTAGGGCAACTGACTGACTTAACCAGTAACATTTTGCAAGAAGTAATTGAATCTTACCAGAAGAGTCAGAGCCTTCAGATTCTTCATCAGGGCTGCCAAAGGGAACACAGCAGAAATTAAGAGAAAAAGGAATATAAATGATAAAGAGTAGTAGTGAGGCATCTTACATATTGCAACAAAAAAAAAACTATGCCATAAATATGAACCAATGTTTTAAAAACAAAACCGAACCATTCAACTTGTTTAACCAGCCATTACTTGCACACAGTTTTGCTGTTCAGGACAATAAACCCATGACCCAAAGGTCTCATCGGTTACCAATTTGATTTTTAAAACATTTGTCAAATCTCTAAACCCATGACCCAAAGGTCTCATCGGTTAACCGTTTGATTCTTAAAACATTTGTCAAATCTCTAAAACACATCCTATAAAGAAAGCTAAACAAATATTAACCAAAATAAAAAATATAAAACAAATACAACAGGTCCAAACACACATCCTCTGAACAAAGCTAAACCAATTAACAACAAATCAAGAGATTGAAAAATACCGGAAAACCTTGTATCCATAAAAATAAACAGCAGCATTTTTTGAATTGTGGGAAAGTTCAGACTCCTGGTCTAGAACTATATCCAGGGAAATTTGAGGAATCTCATCCTTATTAAGAGTTCCCAGAACAATCTTCTGATCTTTAACTTTCACGTACACAACAACAGGTTCACTTGTTTTTCCTTTCTTAACCTCTCCAAGTGCAACCTGAAGAAAACAAGTTACATCTTACAAGATTAATATTTCAAAACCTAATTAATAATCATTAACTAGAAATAACTTTAACCTAATTAACAGATTCTAACCTTTGAAATATGGATGTATCCCTCAAAATCATCATTTGGATCAACTTTAACAGATTCTCCAACTTTAACTTCAACGCCTAAATTTCAAACCAGTGAAAAATAAAACCATATTGCAACAACAAAAATCAACAAATACTACTAGAACACGTACAGTATTGCGTTTTCGGTATAACACAACTAGAAAATTAATATATAGCGATGATGTTGTGTATAAAATTGGAATCGAAAGCGATAAATGGAGATGGAGAGAAGAGAAAGTTACCCCAAAACTCCATTGGTGAGTCCATTTGAAAGGTTAAACGAAAGAGAGAGGCGAACGCAGAAAAGAAAACGAGTGGAGAAAGAGGGGAACGGAAGTAGTTTGAAAAAGAAAAATAGGGTTTAAGGGTTTCTTTAACATTTATATTGATTCATTAGGGTTTTTCAACTTCCCCGCCTCCCGCTTTTCTTTTCTTTTCTTTCCTTTTTTTCCGTTTATTTTGGATATTATTGTATAAAGTTTTTTTTTTCTTACAAAAACAAATACTGAGTTATTATAAAAAGTATATGAAGTAAAAAGAATAATCACAAACATTATTAAAGTCTAATGGAAAATACGGCCAAATGTCGTGGGTTTTATTTAGATGTGGTTGGTATCCAAGGTTGTAATGAAAGATGGTAGTAAGGATGTTGTACGATATCTCAATGATTTTCAGTTTGGGATCGGGGTATCATGTGGTGTTGAAACTATTTTGCAAAGTGTTAATAGGGTGTTGAACAAGCAACATGGAAATGGATTTTTAACTATGATCGCGATAAATTTCATGAATGATTTCAACCAGATTGATCGATCAGCCATTCTACAATAGGTGAGAGTGAAATACCTATTTATTTTCTTATGGGTTGAGTTTTATATGGTCAGACCGTAAGTTATACCTTGGGAATGAGCATATTATGTCAGTCACTAGAGTGCAACAAGGTGACCTGTTAAGGGCCGCTTCTTTTTGTCGTTGTATTATATCCACTTATTCAGATCAACGACAACTGTAAGTTTCTTTTTAATGTCTAGTATCTTAATGATAGAACCATCATAAGGGATTCAAAGCATGTGGCTAAATCCTTTGACATCATTTGGGAAAGTGGTACATGATTATGTCTCTAATTGAATATTCATAAAACTAAGATCATTTGGTCTTCGTGTGAAGGTAGTAAACTTCGTGGGGAGTTGTTTCCTTTCGATATTGGAAGGTCGATGTTAGGGATGAAGTTGCTTGGATGGGTTGTTAGTCAAGATGAAGGCTTTATCAAGGGGGTTGTCCATGAAATGAGCGGCCATGGTTGTTGAGTTGATGCATCTTCTACCATAACTAAGGGATCATTAGAGTGAGCTTATTTTACTTTGATATTGCATGAGCATCGCCAAACTTTTTTTGGACTTAGAATATGTCAACCTAATCATATTGAGAAAGCAAATATTTAGTTTGATAGAGAATTATGAAGGGCGACTGAAGATGTTGTGGTTGGTGGAGGTCTTATCTTCGAGGATCTTTAATGGAAGGTGGCTTCTTTACCTATTAGAGTTTAGGTATTATGTTTATACTTGACAATAAAGGCTACCTCATACACATTTATGGCTTCTAGGGTTCAACGTTGGATGTTACATGATCATATATTGCGACAGGGCTTTCAATGGTCTTAGTGTTGCGATTCCAAATTTTAACCTTAGCAGTTTTACTATCAAGGACATCGCCCCTCCTAAAGCACATCATGTTTTGGCGAATGCCTTTTTTAGTAAAAGGGTTCGGGACATGGATGTAAAGTTTGACATTACCACAAGACAATAAGTAATTTTTGGTCGTTTGCAAGCAACACATGCTCAAGATTTTCTCCTTGTGATCCCTATTGATGGTTTAGGCCAAGATATACCCCTCGTAGAGTATCGTACCATACTCAAATATCAGCTTATGATTCTCTTATTTCCTGTTGATGAGGTTTTCCTTGTTTGTTGCTAGGTATGATTTGATATATTCGGGGAACATGACATTCATTGTAAAGAGCTTCTAGGATTCAAATATCGACATGACTTTGTTATAGATGTCTTATTTGATATTGTTTTGTATTAGAGCCATAAATAGAGTGAAGATTGGAAGTAATGATGGATCAGAACTTTCAGCGGAATGGAGAGGAGGCTAATCAGAAAGGTTAGCATTTCAACGCTCAAGTTAGTATGTGAGAAAGAAAAGTGAGTTCAAATTGAATTTGAAACTTAGTACCTGAATTGGGTCCTTCTTTATATACAGTATAGAGGAAATAACTAATTTGTTATTAGTTAGGAGTCAATTAGGGGGATTCATTAGATACACTTTAGGAAAGGATCTCTTGTGCTAGCAAGTGGGATGGTTCTCATGTGTTAGGAAGATTTTTAAAGGATCGTAGCTCCACAATTAATTCAATCTATGGAATCCTAAATCCAGTTAGTTTTCAAATTTATCAATCACAATACTAGCTTGACTAGTTGTCCATTTCCAACAAAACCTAAGCTTTACGTAATTAATCACTATCATGAACAAAACAATGTAATATGAAGGAATTGAAAAACCTAACATGCAATCACTACATATATAAATGCAATAGTAAAGTTAGAAAGATGACACCGAGATTTATAGTGCTTCGGTGTTCGTCATTGCTTGGCCTATGTGCACTCTTAAATGGTTTCCCATTTAGACCTACATAGTTCTTTGTTATTTGACAAATTTTTCCAAAAGCTCATACAATCATCAATCCACAATTACAGCTGAGAAAATAAATCTCATAACTTGGGTCTTGACTTGTATACAGCAAACTTGTCAAACTCTTATATGTAGTCTTACTTGAATATGTTTCATGAACCTTCCAATAACACCAATTATACTTCAAGCCTTTGTGTGTAACTATCAACCCATTGATTCTACCGATTCCTTGAGCGGTGACATTGTCCGAAGATCCGAGAAGAACTCCTCCTTATTTCTAGTCTTCCACTCATTTACTATTAAGGCAATACTGGAGAGAAGAACCTATTTCTTTTCAATGGAATTTGTCACCACCATTGACAATCCCTCATTCATACTAACAACCTAAAAAACTCAACAAGATCTTCAAGAACAATTAGTATCAAGTATGTGCCTCTTTCAATCAATCTTAAAACTCTCGTATTGGGACCTAAACTCAATTGAAGTTGAAGATGTGAGAAATTTGTAGCAAGACTTTGAACACTTAAAATATAGGAAATTGATTTTCACACAAAATCACACTGAAAAATATTAATAGAATGATAGATGTTGTATGTAGAATGATGACAAAAATGATTTATATGTGCTTGAGATGAAACATACAAAATGGTTGAAAAAGGTGGTTATATTTAAATCAATAAAAATATGATTTGAATTAAATGAACAAAATGAGGTGAAATGAAAGAAATGCCTAATTTTTAAAAAATATGTCAGTTGATTCGGATCAGAGGAAACATGATTCAAATCAAATGCCTTATGATTTGTATCAAGAACAAAATTTGATTCAAATCAAATAGCCCATAATTGACATGATTTTTAGGCAAAACAAATTGATTCAAATCAGGTTCAAAGTTTGATTCGAATCAAATCAAACAAAATCAAACATGATTTTTTTTAAATTGAAATTGATTTGAATCATGTACAATTTTTTATTCGAATCAAATTAGACAAAAAAATTATTCCCGATCAATCGATTAGGATCAAGTGTAAAATCTTATCAGGATCAAGTGCGTAGATGTTTTTGATTAGTTGCATTTAGTGGCAAAACATTGATGTATGTGTGAATGTCATAACTGATGTTATGACATACATGTGTAGTGTTCTGCAAGGTAAGTTTGGTTAGCTAGCACAAAGTAAATTGGATGTCATACTGAATGTCATGACATCACGTAGCTAACATCAGGGCACACGTGTTTTGTTTTTCTGGTATGGTTCCTGATTTATCTCAGGCTAAAATTCAGGATTCCTTAGTTATATCAGGCAAGATTTCAGTCAGGGCTGAGAGAACATGGAACAACTGTGACCTAATTCGCAGCACCTGAATTATGTAAATTGGTTTAACTGAGTTAAACCTAATATATGTTTTGCAGGTCCAAGACCCATGCACTGCATATAAATAAAGGAGGAATCCTTCTGAAGACTAGCAGATTGGGTGGTGACGAATTATGTCTGAGTAATTTAATCTTCACGTGTGGTTTTGTGTTATAGGGTTGTGAGAGTCTCTTGTATGCGTGACTTTGTAAGTCACCCTTTGTATCTTTTGATGCATTGTGGTAGACATATTTATGGGTTAGTTTTGTGAGTCGCTCGCGCATTAATCAATGTGTGAATTGGAATAAGTTGTAATCGTAAATTGTTCACTCAAAGCTTTTAAGCAAAAGTGTATGGTTCTTGATCAAAGATTGTAAGCAAGATCAAGTTGTGACTTTGAAGAGTGTCTTCTAAAGTCTTCTTTTTGTTTTGAATTGTTTATCGCTGCTATGATTGTGGGGAGTGAGGGGTGTCTCGTGTCTAGTGGGTTTTAGGCAGAAATTGCATTGGGTAGAGATTAAGTGAGGAGTTGTAAATTGGGAGTTTAGCTCTGAATTAATTCTGCTAATAGTGGATTTCCTTCCTGGCTTGGTAGCCCCCAGATGTAGGTGATGTTGCACCGAACTGGGTTAACAATTCATTGTGTTATTTATCTTTCAGCATTTACAATTCTGCATAATTTAAATGGTTAGATAAATAGTTTTGTCAGTCTAGCGATGTTACAACAGATGTCGTGACATTGTTATTTCTGAAAGAATTTTAAAATGGTCATGTTTTGTCCTTGTTCTGTTTTAGCAGAGATCAATGTTCTTTGCATCTCTTAGGACATCTGAGATTTGCATACCAGAATTTCAATTGGTATCAGAGCTGGCATCCTGTCTGTTCTGGATGAGATCTTGGGACATACTTTCTGGTGTTTTTGAACAAGGAGAAGTGGTAGCTGATTTGCTGATCTTGCCAAATGTTTGAGCTGCTGCTTAAGGAGTTAAGGAGGAGTTTATGCTTACTCCTATTTTGGAAGGATTCTGTGTATCTGTTGATGTGCTCTTTGATATAGGAGTGCCTACAACAACTGCAGGAGGAGTGGTTGTTTCTTCTGTATGATGTCCTATAAGATGTTATAACATCTTATTTAGGGCATGTTGAAGATGTTCTTGTGGTGGTTCCGCTGCATATTTTTCTGATGGAAGAACTCTGATAGACCGGTTATTCTTGAAGATATCAACGTT